TAAATGAAGGTCAATTTAAAACTTTTGGGTTTATGTTGAAAATCCAAAGCAGCTCCACTTTGCAAACTGATTTCAGTTTATAACTTGCTTCCAGCTCCACGCCTCAAGCTACAATCTCAAGAAGATATACGCCAGCCTCAGCAATTCTAGTTAATTAACTTAATTACAGCATGTGTGCATTGTATTTTCGAGCTGTATATATAGACATTGTATTGTTCTATTGAGATTATCTTTTAAAAATTGAAACTAAGTCTTGAATCATGCATTTCCTTCATTGGTAATCAGAGCTCTAAACTTCTTGCGAGATGATCCATAGCTTTCTTTCACCCAAGTTCTATGTTGTTCTTCTTCATCGGCTTCCTCGTCACTTCTCTGAAATCTCTCTTTTACTGATCTCTAATAGTTCTTCGTTTATCACAATTTAAACTTGATTCATCAAATTTCCAATATTGGGAAAATCCAAAGTGCAGAGTATTCTCACTGCAAATAGTCATTCTTGGCTTTGTTGATGATACTATACCATGTTTGTAAGACGCCCCCGAACGCCCCGGAGGGTTAGCTCCCGTTTCTGTTTCATTTGGGTCACTACAGCTCGGACTCTTAAAAATGTTACGGTTCCTAATCATGGAACCAAAGAGTCCAAATCCGGCAAATCGTTTGAGAAAACTGATTTTGAAAGGAAGTGCCAAACATGGACTGCTTTGCCAGATACAGGAGTCGCCACCTAAATCATTTTATTTGGGAAATTTAGGAAACCCTGACTCGGTTGCCAAAAGGCCACGTGTCCGTCATCACCCAAAGTTGCCTCGGCTCTTGGGGAACTGGGTACGATTGGGGAAGTCACTTCGTGAGCACCCCGCTCTCGCCGGTCATAGACCGGCCTCACTAACCATGATTATCTTATTTTTTTTGAAAACATTGTGAGTTCTTTATTCCGGTTATTAGCCTAAGTTTACTATGTGATGCTCACAGCACACAAGTATAGGAACCGGGTCGACCCAAAATTGGATCAAAACATTTCATTGCTTGTTTTTGAAAAATGGTTTTGCTACCCGCAGGTAGGCTTGAAACATTGATGATTTATTCCAATCCAGATAACCCGACCTTCACACAGGCCATTTAGGCAGGATATATACATAAAGGCACATAGCCTCAATTGTAAGCTATGCTTTCATGGCAACACTCACACGCATGTTAAGGATTGCCTAAAGCATAAAGCTTACCGAGTACTCCAAGCCAAAATAGAAATTTTATTAGAAATCATGCATGATCCTAATTATCAGAAATGCCTAATGCAAACACATTCAAAATGCAATTATAGCAGGCTCGGGCTATTTCTAAGATGGTATATGAATGCTACAACTATCATGTATTCAATTTTTTGAAATTTGAAAATACAATGCAGTTAGTATGATGCGCCGAGCCGGTGCATGCAATTACAGGAATGATATGAATGCAAACATCTATCATTACTGTATGCTTAATTTTAAAACATGGCCCTAATCTAACCATCATTAAGCGGGAGGATAAATTAAAAGGCGAAGAAAGAACGTGGGGTTGGAAGACATACAGTCACACTCACGGCACACTTTACAGTTTTATGGCCCTCGCGCAGAGGGTCCGAATAAATAAACAGTCCAAATATTACCAGTCCCGAATATTAAAAGAATATTACAGTCTAAAGTATTTTTACAAAATCCTAAATTAATTAATTTGAAATTAACTAAGAAAGCAAGTAAAACTGGCGTGCAAGCCAGGGAAACTTGCTTTTTGCTTCTGATGGATGATGCATGTCCGGGTTGTCTTGGCGCAGGAAATCCACCGGGGAATGCCCCAATTAGCCTTCTGTATTTTACACCTGTTCTTGAAAATGTCGTGCTTAGGCCCGAAAAAATTTGCTGATTCCTGGTGTTGCTTGCAACAGAGAGCAGGAAAGGGCATAGCAATGTATTTGCACAGATATATGCATATGTCTCGATCCTCGTGGCCCCAACACGGCAACCGAGGCATGATGGCCGAGGAGTCGAAATGCACAACTCAATTATAGGATGATAATGCCACATAAACCTACAGCTAAAACCTAACTCCATCAGGATAATCCGGAAGTGTCAGTGAACTTGGGGAATTGAAGACACATTCCGTCATTTTCGGAGTAGAAATGTACCTCGTTTTCCCGTGCCAGGGGCTAACTCCTATTCCGGACACAGATGCAATTTGCATGATATGCCATGAAATTGCAACTAAGATACAATCCTAACATACACATGCTATGGGAAATGGACATGCCTCAAAATACGTGCACACGGGCGCGAGCAAACCGAGAAAATGACAGAAGTGCGGATCTAAGATACAACCTAGTATGCAACTATGCTATGAAAATGAGATGGCCTCGAATGGCGTGGCACACGGGCACGGCAAAAATCGGGAAGGGGAAGAATTAGGGATGCCTCAAAATTCGTGACACAGGCACGCAAACCGAGAAAATGCCAGGAAATATGATGAAAATGAGATGCCTCGAAATGCGTGTACACGGGCACGCAAACTGAGAAAATGATTGTCTCCAAAATACGTGCACGCGGGCACGCAAAAAACCGAGGCAATGATATTGTGTCTTCAAAATACCGTGCACGCGGGCACGGCAAACCGAGGCGATGATAATGTGATCTCGGAAATACGTACACGCGGGCACGCAAACGAGGCGATGATATATGATCTCGAAAATGCTTGGCATTAGGGGCACGCAACTGAGGCGAAGTATGTGTCTCGAAATTACGTTGCACGCTGGGCACGCAAACTGACGAGCGGATGATATGATGCAATGTGTCTCGAAAATGCGTGCACGGCAAAGCACGCAAAAACCGAGGCGATGGCAGGAATGATGTAATGACATGGAAAATGATGAATGGACTTATACAACACATGAGAGGGCCTCAAGCCGCCACTCACATAAGATTGCCGCGCGATAAAAACGGAGTGCCTCGAAATTGCGCGGCAACGGGGCACGCAAACCGAAGGCGATTGATAAAATGCAATGAAATGGCATGGAAATGACAATGGCTTATACCAACAGCAGTGAGCCTCACCCACTCACATAAGATGCCGATTGGGTGAAAATGAAGTGCCTCGAAATGCATCGTGCACAGGGCACGCAAACCGAGGCGATGCTTAAAATGTTGATGAAACATGGCAAAAAATTGATATGCAAGCATACTAATGGAATTTCAGCACTAAAATATGGGGGAAAACAGTCCCGAAAAATGAAGCGAAATGACCATGAAATGCAAGGAAATGTCCCGAAATGCAACATTAGGCACCCGAAATGGGCCATGCTATGCAAACATGCACAAACCATGGACATCAATGCAAAAGACGAAGACTAGACAGTTCCCAAAAGATGCACTTTCACAGTTATAAACATGGCCAAACAGGCAGTATAGGTAGGGGAAAAAATATCATGCAAGAATGGGGGCCAAAGAGGAGGTAATGAAGCAAGTTGGTATAAAGCCAAACCCAAACTTGGAAGAATTTTCCTTCTACAACACTGAAGATTGGACCAAAAAATTGAACATTTACAGTATATGGCAGACTCAATCAGTATACAAAATATGCCCCAAAAATGTGATGCAAAGACAAGGCTTCAAAAGGGCTTATAACATGAAGTATATAAAAATAATCACCAAACGGACAAAAAGTGTTGAATTGAAACATGAAGTATAGGCCAAAATAAGGCCACTATTGTTCGGAACCAAGGCAAAAACAGAAAGCAAGGTTGCATGCCAATTTATGCAAAAATTGGGGCCAAATAGGGGGTATAACTATAAAGTGACACATGGAAGCACCAAACATGTTGAGCCCTTCTCCAATGTTGAAGAGGGGCTCAAAATTAAGCCTAATATCAACAGTTTACAACATGCCTCGAAAAATAAATTGCTCATGGCGTCAAAAAAATAAGCATGCAAAACTATGACATACAAGGGGGTCAATGAAAGCAAGTGTGTATGGAGGGGCCTCAAAAGGGTTGAGCCCTTAATGATAAGTGAAGATGGAGCTCAAAAAGATGGCCCTTTTTAGTTAGGGCCGGAGCTTGAAACCAAAAAAAAAATAAGTGGGGGCTTAGGAAAATTAGATCAAGGAAAAAAGGTTCAAAAAGGGTAAAAGTATTTTACTTTACCTTGAAGAATCACACTTTTGTTGCTTCTTGGATGGATTGTAGCTTCTTTAGCCTTCAAGAATCCTTCCTTGTTGCTGGAAATGTTATGGTGGTGGTAGAGGCTTGGTGGTGAGAGGAATGATGGTTAGGGGGCTTAGGGTTTTTTTGAAGAATTTTTGAAAAAGGAAAGAAGATGGAGTTGCTATGGAAGCTGAAGGGGAGTTTTCTAACCCCAACAAAGAACAAGGTTTTGACTTGCTATATAGGCCAAAGAAGGGGTGTAAAGGTGGGGGAAAAGGAGGGTAAACTCCCCCAACAAAATATCCCCCCGGGACAAGGAAATATCCTGGAGATATTGCCCACAGCTGTAAAGTGCACAGTGCGAGGAACACGGCCGGCCTCTCCTTTTTGTTGGAGGTGCCGGCGGCACACCCCCTAGCCGCGGCTAGGGGGGGTCAAAAGGGTCAATGTGATTTTCTGGCCGGCCAGTACTGGAGAGGCTACCCCTATGTGGTGTACAAACACAAAACCATGTGGTTAAAATTCAAGAAATGGGTCTAGGGGTTCAAACATTACTTCGGAAAGAAGGGGTTCCAAAAGGGTCAAGTGACTTACTGGCCCCAAACTTACCCCCGGTGGTACATCAACAGATACCTCAAACAGAAAAAAAGTTTCCAAGGGCAACATAGCCCGGAAGAAAGGCGGTAAAAAAGTATATTTTTACAATTACTGGCCGGCCATAGGTTTTTTAGGGTCTTCCAGGTGTGTAGATCACAAAATTTGTGGTGAAGTGGCAACACTAACCCATAGGGTGTTCACATTAGCCCGGAAGTGGAAAAACGGGCGCGGGATGGCTCGGAGGAGAGATAAACTGGTTGCTGCAACAGATACTAGCCTCCCACCCTTCAGGACCTTCTTGGTGATAAAACAGAGGTACCTGCCAAAAAATTGCAACGAAACCGATTTGCAAAACATGTTTCGGGCCAAAACACACGTCAGTTCGGGGCCCGGAAAACTGCCCGTTTAAAACACCGAAAGTGGCGTTCGGCACGAAGTTGGGTTTCTCAGACCCCAGTGTCCCTCAAAAATGGGAAGAAAATAAGATGTATGCAAAAATCAGAGCAAACGGAGATGGCTATAGGCGGGTCCCGAACGAGGCACACGGCTGACGGCCCCGAAAATACAGAGAACGGGCTCGAAATGGGCAAAATGGGGCCTACGGCCACCAATGATAGCCACGGCCACTACGAGATGGTCCTCGGGACCTCTCCCTCCCTTCAGGAAAAGAAACAGAGAAAACCGAGTCTGTTCGCAAAACCGAGGCAAGCACGGAAGAAGGTCCGAAAGTCCGGAGCGCGGGGCTCCAAGCCGCGACTCTGAGGCCTTCACCTGAACAAGCACAAATCAATATCACCAAGTGGCTCCAACTGGTGACGTCTGAGTTCTCAAGTCCGGTCAAAAATGGGGTGTTACACATGCCACAGATGCAAAAGTTGTGGATATTTTTGGTTCAGAAATTTCTAATCCTGAAATCTGCAATGGAAACTTGTTGACGTTATTTTGCTCCAGTTGCATTACTGTGAATTTATCACCTGCAATCTTTAATCTATTCTTCATCTTCATAATTGTTTCAGAGATTGGATTGCCTTATTATAAGCGTTTCACTTCGCTCTCTCGATCTCATGTTCATCAGGTTAAAGAAACAAATTAACGGTACGTACCAAAGAGAGCAGTGATTCAATGGCAGGATTATCTGTCAAAAATCAAAGACTGACTCAGTCAATTGGCTCTTGCTTCATTCATTTATTGATGATGAAGATCTTTGTCTTCTTGCCTTAAAATGGTCTCCCAGATGATATGATGCCTTTTAAGACCACAATTGCGAGCCTAGATTCTAAAATCCATATTCAATGTAGGCAACGTGACTGCTTTCTTCTTTCTGAAAGCCATACATGTTGAGAATAAAGCTTCACAAGCTTCTTACTGAAGCCAACTGTGGCCTTTTCTTCTGTTTTGAGTTTCTTCAAGTTACAATCACAGAGGTCATTCCTTTAGATTCAGATGTTGATCTACAAAGGGCAATACGAGGATGGTCGATTTCTTCTGGATCAAATTCATCTCATAATTATTCCAGTACTGGCTCTCTAAATTCTTTTCAGGAACAACGATGATAAGCGAGGAGGTTTCTCTAGAGGTAGATGGCAGAGGCAGATCTTTCCAGAATTTGTCAAATTTGTGTGGACTATGGTCCAACTCTGTCATTGGATGCTAGGTACAAAATGGATTCCCCAAGTTTTAAGTCTCGTTCTAATTTGCTTCCTAGTTGATACTTTTTGAATCTCATGTGTCCAATTCTAGAGCCTTCGTTGCTGCATTCTCAATCAGTCCCTTTTACTTCACAAACTCCTTAGTACTTTGACTCTACTTGCAACTGATCACTATCACTCATGATCTGCAAAAACCCTTAGTTGTTACAGCACCATATCAGGGGTCTGATCAAATCACGATAAGTAATGGTACTATAATTTCTAATTACAATACAGGTAAGGGATTGTTTCCTACTCCTCATTTTCTTTTTTAAATTAATCATATTTTGCATACCCTTTCATTTCTTTTAATCTCCTTTTAGGTTCACAAATTCACCAGGATTAATAATTGTCTCGTCACATTTGATGCCTTCTAAAATTTTTGTGATTTGGTAAGAATGCAAGCCAGACGCTCTCAGCGGAGATTGTAATGTTCATACATACTGGAGCCTCCGTTCGTCTTATACCGATCGCTAATAGGCGGCCTCTCTCTACTAGTCGTTCTCATTCTTATTTCTTTCAGCTGTTGCTTGCTAGTTACCTGTGTATGCTTACTGACTATTCTCTTAAACACTACACACGTAACGATCTTCTCTCGTGTGTTGGCATAATAGAATTAGGGCCCATTCCATCCTTAGTGAAGTATAATCATTCACAAGACTTGTATTGAATGTTTCTCAGAATCCAAATAAACTTTGTTTGTATTGATTGTTGCATAGCTAAGAGTTAGCAGACTTCCTTTTCAATTGTTTTAATTCTACTTGTAATGCACCTCGTTCTCTCATTCATAGTGATGTGCGACGGGCATATTCTTCTAGTTCCGGTAAAAATACATTTACTTTTTTGTGGATGATTACAGCAGTGTTACTTTCGCTTACTCCATTAGCCTATAAAAAGTGAAGTGTGTGATAACTCATTGAATTTACCAGCCTTATGCTGAAAAATAGTCATTATGCATTTTGTAAGTTTCTAAGAAACTGATAGAGGTTCTTAAATATTTTACTTCTAAAATGCAACCTTTCTGAGCCACACAAGTGTCATTCATCGACACTCTTGCCCTTACACTCTTGCTCAAGAATGGGCATTTGCTGAGAAAAAAAATACAGACATATTACGTGAAACTGCAACTGCTCTTCTTTACAAACTCCTCAGTGCCATTGAGAATTGGTTTGATGATGTAGCCATTCTACTTTTTCTTTTATTTAATCGCCTTCCATCTTCTAAACTTGGTCATAAATCCCCATTTGAAATGCTTTTTCAGTCCACTCCAAATTATTCCTATTTTTGAGTGTTTGGTTGTTAATGCTTTCCTTAGCTTAAGCCTTATCATCCCCTCAAATTACATCCCAAATCTGTGTCCTGTGTTTTCCTTGGTTATCATCCTTTTGCTAAAGCTATAGATGTCTTGATCCATTCATAGGTAGAATCTATTTGTCTCGACATGTTGCGTTTAAAAGGATATGTTTCTTCTTGTTTCACTGTCTTCTTCTTCTCACTCTCCATCACAATCCTCTCTTTCTGTCATTACCTTATTCTTTTGGCCCTCATCTTCTTCTCTTTTTTCTTTTTTCTCTCCGTCTTCTCCTTCTCTTGTTGAGCTTTCTTTTACATCATCTTTATCCAATTCAAATTCTCCTCACGCTCCACCTCACTCTTTTCATGCCTTAGTTATTTCTGTTGTTTCTATTCATTCGATTGCTATTGAATTACCTCTTCCACCACATTCAAATCAGCATCCCATGGTTACTAGGGCCTCATTTGGGAACCCTCAATTTTAGCTAAAAAGTCAAAAAGTTACTAAATTAGCCAAAAAGCCAACAATCCATACCAAAAAGTCAAAGATTCTCTTTTCTCTCTACTTTTTATACATTTTTTCGTAAAAAGCCAAAAAGTCATCCCAAACATACTAGTTTTTTTTAGCTCATATTTTAGTCAAATAGCCTGTTCCTAAACGAGGCCTAGGTCCAAATTTGCAGCTGGTTCTTATTGTTTGGTTGCTTCTACTGCTTCTTATTCAAATTCAGAACCACCTTCTTACAAAGAAGCTTTACTCTATCATTTTTGGCATAAAGCTATGCTTGAGGAATTTTCTGCTCTTCAGAAGCAACACACTTGGTCTTTGGTCTCTCTACCACCTGCCAAAAATGCCATAGGTTGTAAATGGGTTTTCAAGGTTAAAAGGAACTCTGATGGCATAATTGCCAGGTATAAAGCTCGGTTAGTAGCTAAAGGGTACTTACAGCAAGAGGGTATTGATTTCCATGAGACTTTTAGTCCAGTGGCTAAGCAACCAACCATTAGAATTTTATTTTTTCTTGCTTTTCATCACACGTGGTCCCATAAATAGTTAGACATTTCCAATGTTTTCTTCATGGCCTTCTTGAGGATGAGGTGTTCATGCTTCAGCCATCAGGATTTGTGAATTCATCATTCCCTACTCGTGTGTAAACTCCATAAGGCATTATATGGCTTGAAACAAGCTCCAAGAGCTTGGCATTCTACATTTTCTGCCTTCTTGTTGTCTCAGGGCTTTACTAATAGCAAGTGTAATTCCTCCTTATTCATTTAAAGAACATGCACTTCAGTGACTTATTTGTTAATATATGTGGATGATATCTTGATCATTGGTGATAACTCCTCTTATATGCAGACTCTCATTACTCAAATGCATAGTGCTTTTTTCCTCAAAGAATTGGGAGACATTTCTTACTTTCTTGGAATTTCTGTATAAACTACTAGCTCAGGTTATCTTTTATCTCAGTCCAAATATGCCAATGATATTCTTCTTAAAGCTGGTTTATCCTCTTGTAAGCCTTGCTCTTCACCTATCTTTGTCAAGCCTAGTACTCCTCCTAATGCTTCCTTGCCATTTTCCAATCCTGCTCTCTATAGAAGTATTGTTGGAGCTTTGCAATACCTTATTATCACTAGACCTAATCTTTCTGTCTTTGTCAACCAAGCTTATCAATTTATGCATGCTCCTACAATTGGAAATTTTGTTGCAGTCAAGCGCATTCTCAAATTTGTTCAAGGCACCCTCACTCATGGCTTGAGTTTTTCTCCTAGTACCTTTGATGTTAATGGGTATTCATATTCTAATTGGGTAGGAGATGTTCATGATAGGAAGTCTACATTTGGTTATTGTGTTTTCTTCGGCTCTAATTTGGTTTCCTAGTCTGCTAAACAACAGGCCTCTGTGTCCCGTTCATCCACTGAAGCTGAATATTGTACATTAGCTAATGCTGCTACTAAATTGAGTAGGATTTCTATGCTCCTCACTAAAATGGGTATTTCCTTCCCAACTACACCTATTCTTTGGTGTGATAATCTATCTGCTCTAGCTTTGGCCTCCAACCCTGTCTTTCACTCGCATTCCAAGCATATAGAAATCGATTGTCATTTTGTTTGGGATAAGGTTTTTGCTAAGCAGTTTCAACTTCAGTACATTTCTAAAGTTGATCAGTTAGCTGATCTGTTTACCAAACCATTATCTGTATCTCGATTCCAGTATCTTGTCATCAAGCTCATGGTTCTTTATCATCCCATCAGCTTGTAGGGGAATGTTAAAGATACTGATATCCAAGCAGCTCTCCAAGCAGCTCCACTTGCAACTAATTTAGTTGTAACTGCTTCAGCTCCAACTGCATCACCTGCAATCTTAAGAAGATATAGCTAGCTCAGCAATTCTGTTATAACTAATTAAAGCATGTGCGCATTGTATTTTCTAGTGTATATATAGACACTGTATTGGTCCATTGAGACTATTCTTGAATAATGACAACTGAGTGTTGAATCATGCATTTCTTTACATTTTACCCCTCGTGATTTCAGGTTGAAGCACTTTACCTTCTTATGGTTTAAATATAGTCAGAAAATTTATATGTGATTTTGATTAAAGTGTCATTGTTTGTTTTTTCATTCAAAATGACGGAAGACGTATCACACACATCATTTTTTAGACTAAGATTGATTTTTTTAAAAATAAAGTGAAAGTTTTGCACCATTTTCTCTAAACCTAAAATTAGATTGATATATTAATTAAAATATAATTAAGGATTGATTTAAAATATAATTAAATAAAAATATAAAAAAATAATTATGAATTGACCTGAATATATAAGTAAATTAAAATTTGATTAACATATTAAGAATTACAATAAATAATTAAGAATTTAAGATTAATTGTGATCTAAAATATAATTAAATTAAAATTAGATTTAAAGGTTAAAAATTACAATACATAATTAAATATTTAAGATTAATTGTGATCTAGAATATAATTAGAATAAAAAACTAAGGATTACAATAAATAATTAAGAATATATAATTAATTGTCATTTAATTGAATTACTGTTGAACATTATAAATTTTGTATGAAAAGAAAGAGAAAAAGAAAATAACAAAAAAGATATAAGATTTGAAGGTATTATAGTCTTCTAACCATATTTAAACCATAATTAAAGTACTCAACCATTTCATAACCACAGCCATTTTGAACCATAGATATAACTCTTGTCACTTTTTCTCATAACTAAGTTTTGACCCATACCATTTCATAACCACAACAACCATTTTGAAGCACAAACAACCCCACTTTCTACATAACCATTATCAACCAACATCAAGTTGTCTAGTAACCACACCACTTCACTATAACCAATATCACTTTATTCATAATCTCAACAAATTTAAAATATAACCAATATTATTTTTCTCTTAATTTGTACCACTGAGTTATAACTAACACTATTTTATTCAAAATTTAAACCAATTTAAGATATAACCAATATTATTTTTCTCATAACCTATGCGATTGAATTATAATTAACACCACTCATCTAATAACTAAATTAACTATCACTAATTCGTTAAGTAATAACTGATTAGTTTAGATTAGTTAACCGATTATGACAAATAAGAGAGATATCATAGAATTGTATAAGCAACCAATTTAGTGGGTGGCCCATTTTTGTTAACAAAGTAGGTATAAAATAATTTAAACATAAATTTAAGATTAAATTTGAGAAATAGACGTAGGTGCGCTCAAAGTGTGGATAGCGGTTTACATGAAGATACTTTCGTGGAATATTAGAGGTTTGGGTCGGCCAGAAAAGAGGGGCAAAATCAAGAAATTAGTAAAGGAGAGGAAAATTGGAATGCTTTTCTTGCAAGAATCAAAAAGAGTATTCTTATCAGAATGGGATATTCGATCTATTTGGGGATGTTCCCGGTTTGAATATATGGAGGTTGGATCACAAGGAAGTTCGGGTGGCATAATTTGTGTCTGGGATCCTGATTTTTTTCAATTAAAGGAGTGCTGTGGTAGTAGGAATTTCCTGCTTTTGCAAGGTACTCTCTATCATTCCTTTGATTGTGTTTTGATGAATGTATATGCTCCTACTGATGTAAGTAAGAGAGGAAGGTTGTGGGAAATTATTAAACAGCTTAGAAGTAAATTTCTTAGCCTGTGGTGTTTGGGGGGGGGATTTCAATGAAATCAGGCTAATTAGTGAGCGTATAGGTGTGTCAAGAAGGGATAAGGGTATGAGAGAGTTCAACGACTTTGTTGACTCCTGTGAGCTCACAGATATACCAATGGTTGGAAGAAAATTTACATGGTGTAATAATCAGGAGGGTGCGAGATGGAGTCGAATTGACAGGTTTTTGTTGGACCCAGAGTGGTTGGAAAGCTTCAATATCAAATTGTGGGGATTGCCTACAATTGTTTCTGACCATTGCCCAATTCTGCTTATGGAGGACGAAAGGGATTAGGGTCCTAAACCATTCAGATTTTTAAATGCATGGCTTCTTCATCCTTCATTCTCTAAAGTGGTAAGGGAGGCCTGGGAAGAGTCACAGATTACTGGGTGGGGTGGTTTTGTAATGCTTAAAAAACTCCAACTAATTAAACAAGTTTTGAAGCGATGGAACAGTGGAGTGTTTGGAGCAATATCTGTGAAGTTACATCGTGCAGAGGAGAAATTACATGAATTTGATTTGTTAACTGAAACTAGAGAGCTATCTACTGGGGAGGAATTGAGTAGAAGGGAAATTAGAGACAAGGTGTGGAAATTAAGTAAAATGCAAGAATGGATTTGGCTTCAAAAATCAAGGCAAAATTGGGTGCTCAAAGGGGATAAAAATACCAGATTTTTTCATGTTATGGCAAGCTGCAGACAGAATAGAAATGCAATTGGCTCTTTGAAATTTGATGGAATTGTCTATGATGAGCCAGTCCGAGTTAAGCATGAAGTGTTTCAATTTTTCAAAGCGCATTTCATGAAAGTGTGGAGTTCAAGGCCAAAATTGGTGGGAAGTTTTAAATCTATTGGTAGCATAGCAGCAGTGGAATACATTGAGGCAGAATTTTCTAAGGCAGAAATTTGGGCAGCAGTGAGAAGTTGTGATGGTAATAAAGCTCCGGGGCCAGATGGATTTAATATGTTGTTTTTTCAAAAATGTTGGAAGGTTGTGAAGAAAGAGGTAATCCAGTTTATGCAGGACTTTCATCGGCATGGGAAATTGGTGGGTGGGATTAACAGTTCTTTCATTACTTTAGTGCCTAAGAAGGACAATCCTATTAGTCTTGGGGATTACCGACCGATCAGTTTAATCGGGTCTGTATACAAGATTCTCTCTAAGGTATTGGCTAACCGGTTAAAGCTGGTGATGCCTAGAATTATTAGTGAAGAGCAGTCAGCGTTTGTGGGTGGTAGAAGTATCCTAGATAGGATTTTAATTGCCAATGAAATTGTTGACCGGTGGAAGAAGACCAAAAAGCGTGGTATTATACTGAAACTTGATTTCCAAAAGGCTTATGACTCAGTTCATTGGTCCTTTCTGCTATCTATGATGAAGAATTTTGGCTTTGGAGAAAAATGGATGTCTTGGGTGCAGGAGTGTATATCGAATACTCGAGTCTCAGTTCTTGTGAATGGTTCCCCCATATCGGAGTTTAGCCCATCTCGAGGCCTTAGGCAAGGGGATCCTCTCTCCCCTTTCCTTTTTAATATGGTAGCTGAGGGCCTTAACATCTTGTTGACCAAGGCTAGGGAGTTAAATCTATTCAAGGGTGCTGTTCTTGGGGTGAACGAAGTGTTAATGTCCCATCTTCAATTTGCGGATGATTCTATTATATTTTGTGAGGCAGAATGGGAGGCAATAGTGAATATTCCGAGGATTCTTAGATGCTTTGAAGTGATGTCTGGGCTCCGGATCAATTATCATAAGAGTGTGATTTTTGGCATTGGAGTTCAAGATGCCTAGTTGGAGGAAATCGCTGGTAGGCTAAATTGTAAGTGTCAAAAGCTTCCATTTAAGTATCTTGGGAATGCCTCTTGGGGCCAATCCAGGAAGGTTAAAGACTTGGAAGCCTGTTGTGGATCGAGTCAAAATCAAAGTTGGCCAGTTATCTCTCTCTTTTTT